AGAGTAGCCTGTCTGGGGCTGTTGGCCAGAGAGGGTTTGTGCAATGGGTGTAGGAACACAAGGGCCACTGTGGTGGTGCTGTTGTGGCTCCCCAGCTCAGTATCATGGGCTCCCTGGCACCAAGGCTGGCCTTGCTAAGACCCCACTGAGTGTCCAGTGTGCCAGCAACAGACAGCCTCGTGGCTCCTGCAGTTTGGCACCATTTCCTGGGAAGACCAGCCCAGTACAGTCAGGTTGGCACTGGGCAGGAAACTGCTCCCCGCCAGGCCCCTGCGGCCCTGCTTGGGCAGTGCACACTCGGGCGGGAAGCTGGGGGCTCCGTCGGCTCCCTGCTCCCCTCCACTCTTTCAAGAGGCCTCGAGAAGAACTGACCGTTGGAGCAGGGCAGTGAACTCGGCATCCCCAGCTGCTGTGGGGAGGGATGCACATGCGCTGCTGTGGACACGGAGGCCTCTGGTGGCTGAAAACACCATTGTGCTCCCAGAGGTCCCCCGGTGCCCACCTCACCTCCCGGGCCTGCGTCCAATGGCTTCTGCTGTTTCTAACAAAAATGAGCCAAGTTCTGGGCTCCTGGTTAGAAAGCAGCAGAGCCAGGGCAGGAACAGGCAAGTCCATGCTCTTTGGTTTTCTCACTGTCAGATGTCAAATCAGGGTCACGAGCTGCCTCCTCCGTCTGCAGAGTGAGGGTGACAGGGACGATGCAAGGCGCGTGTCCCCTCGGGTGCATTGGCCGCTGCAGCCCCTTCCCATGATCAGTGCGTTTCTGAGCACGGCCCTAGTGACGCGAGGTGTCATTCACTCCCGTCCTGCAGACAGGACACCATGGCTCCGTGTGTGGGAGTCTCACCACGGGCTACTTGGCCAGGGGCGGTAGGAGCAGCCTGGCTCTGTGACACACGGCCGCCCTCATTACCAGAATTGATCCGAGTCAGGATGACGGGGTTGGGATTACAGAGTAAAGGGGCAGTGAGACTCAGGCCCTGGAAAGCTGTGGGCTCAGCCAGGGCCGTTAACCGCACGGCCTGGAGCCCGGCCCGGACACACAGCAAACAAACAAAAGGGCTGGAAGCAGAAACCAACCAAAAGCTGTCCACAGGAATCTGTGCCCTGGTGCCATCCGGGGGCTTTTCCCTCCTGTGTATTGTAAACGGTGGCGACAAGGCCCAGCTTGCTGGCTGGAAAGCCGCCCTCCAGTCCCAAAGAGCCGGCAGCCTCTGAGACCCGGAGGATTCTGTACGTTCTGGTTCCAAGCGGGTACCCCGTGTAGATGGCACACGGCCAAGTGTGGCAGAACTGTCTTTTCCAAGGATAAAGAAGAGACGGGCCGTTCTGCAGGCTTGTAGGATGATGCTTGACCATCGATGGCAAAAGCCTAGAGCTCTGTGGTGGGGGTGGGGGTGTGTGGAGGGGGCCGGGGTAGGGCAGGCCTGCGATGCAGAGGCACCTGTGTGTGCCATCGTGTGCCACTGGCCTGCAGTCTCCGTCCTGCCCTGCTGGGCCTATGGGACAGGGTCTTTGGACGCAGTGCTGGAGGCAGCCTCAAATGCCATGGTGCAAGAATCCGAGTGACCCCGAAGTCACCTTTCCCCTCGATACCCACAGGTTTGTCCAGACTCTGACCCCTTGGATTGTGGGTACGAGGCACAGGCTCAAGAAGCAAAGTGGAGAGAAAGTAAAGTGGGGGCTGCTTTTGTTAGCAATGAGGGGCTTGTGTTTATTTCCTTCTGCTCCTGAAAAAGATAATTGCTTCTTTTGGTGCTAACATACAAGAGTCCCGTTCCATCTCCAGTTCAGTGAGTCTCATCCAGGGGCAATTTCCACCTTCCCCCACCCACCAGGAGACCTTCGGCAATGTTAGGAGACACCTTGGTGGTCGATACAGGGAGAGGTCGGGGGAAGCGTGGGCACCGGGCATCCATGTGCAGAGACCACGGACGCCCCACGTGTCCTACAGTGCCCGAACAGCCCCAGACGCTGACGGCACAGAGGCTGGAAGACCCAGGTCGGTCAGTTAAGTAAGGGACGATTCATCTTCACCATCTTCCACGCAATCAAAAATCAACGGCTTGGTTTGCCTTTTGTTGCCACCATGTGGGGTCCTGCTCTGGTCTCTAGAGTCCCCCCTGTTCTCACTGTGCCTGTCTCGTTTCAGCAGTTAGTCTGTTTTGAATTTTTAAAAGTTTCTTCTTTAGGTCGTGGAATGGAATTCTCACACGGGCTAGCAGGAGTGAGCAGTGCCAGTCAGCCCGTCTGTGAACACTCTTCCATTCGTTCACCTCTAAGCCAAACCCAACAGCGCATTCAGCCTAAAGGGGCCTGGATCCAGACTCAGCCGAGCCAGAAAGAACAACCTCTGGTGGCGGGAGACATTTCAGTTTACGTTATTTTGAGCAAATTCAACATACGTACATCTGACTTGCACAAACAGTGAATTTGGGCTTGGTTTTTCACATATTCCAAGTTTACAACAGACTCCTCTGGATTTTCTGCAGGAGGTGCAAGTTTTAGATGGGAATTCTTCACCCAAGTTCCAGGATCCGCGGGTCCGCGGTTGCCCACCAGGGCTGTGAGCTCCCGAGACAGGCGTGCCCACGGCTGCGGGATCCGCGGGTCCGTGGTTGCCCACCAGGGCTGTGAGCTCCCGGGACAGGCGTGCCCACGGCTGCGGGATCCGCGGGTCCGTGGTTGCCCACCAGGGCTGTGAGCTCCCGGGACAGGCGTGCCCACGGCTGCGGGATCCTCGGGTCCGTGGTTGCCCACCAGGGCTGTGAGCTCCCGGGACAGGCGTGCCCACGGCTGCGGGATCCGCGGGTCCGTGGTTGCCCACCAGGGCTGTGAGCTCCCGGGACAGGCGTGCCCACGGCTGCGGGATCCGCGGGTCGGCAGTTACCCACCGGGGCTGTGAGCTGCTGGGACAGGCGTGCCCACAGCTGTGCCCCGTGTGTCCAGGAATCACTCAGTACTGCTGTCCTGGGGCCTGAAGATCGCGTTTGCCGTTCTGGAACTTATATTCATCTCACTTTTCAGAAACACAAATGACAGATGAAGCACGCAGGCCCCGAAACCCAAACTTTAACTTGGACTGAGAGCTGCTTGGGCTAATGACTTCACATCTGTTTAAACGGAGCCGGCAGGAGCTGCCTCATGCAGCTGGCAGGAGATGTGAGTGAATCAGAACTGGGAAGGTGTCTGCGTGTCACCCATAGTCCGTAGGTAGGAGCTCTTATGTAATAAGTTCCCCCCGACCTCCGTCTCAGTCATGCATCCCTGTGGGCTGCGATTGCTTCGATTATCCCAGCATTTCCTCACTCCTTACTTAGATGGTTTCAATTTTCCAACAAACCTGTACCGCTTGCTTGCGGCAGGCTGGTTCGGAGCAGCAGTTGGAGCTTGGAGCGGAGCAAGGCTTGCTGGGCTCTGACCCGAGATGCCATCCCTGTGGTGTTCTGCTGCTTCCCTAACACCCAGCCCTCTGCAGCGTCCTGCGGCTGGGCAGCAACCCCCCTGTGAATGTCCACGTCCTCATTCCTGGATACGGTGGATATGTGGCCTTATGTGGCAAAGGGGCTCTGCAGGTGCGGCCAAGCTCAGGATCCTGAGATGAAAAGATGACCCTGGAGTATCTGGGCTGGCCCTGCGTGATCAGAGGTGTCTGTGTAAGAAGGAGGCAGAGACGGAGAAGGAGATGTGAGAGTGGAAGCAGAGGAGAAAGAGAGACACAGAGAGGGAGACAGAGACACAGAGAGACAGAGACAAAGAGATAGAGATAGAGAGACAAAGAGAGAGACAGAGACAGAGACAAAGAGACAGAAAGACAGAGAGAGAGGCACGCAGAGCCAGAGAGAGACAGAGATAGACAAAGAGATAGAGAAAGAGACAGAGAGAGAGAGACAGAGATTATATTAGTCCATTTTCATACTGCTGTGAAGAACTATCCAACACTGGGTAAAGAGGTTAACTGAGGGAAAGAGGTTTAACTGACTCCCAGTTTCACATGACTGGGGAGACCTCCATCATGGCAGAAGGTGAATGAGGAGCGAAGGCACGTCTTACATGGCAGCAGGCAAGAAGCATGTGCTGCTTTGATTTTGCTCTTTGGTTTTCTCACTGTCAGATGTCAAATCAGGGTCATGAGCTGCCTCCTCCGTCTGCAGAGTGAGGGTGACAAGGACGATGCAAGGCACGTGTCCTCTCGGGTGCACTGGCTGCTCAGCCCCTTTTATAAATTGCCTTTTATAAATCCATCAGATCTCACGAAACTTATTTGCTATCAGGGAGAACAGAACAGGAAAGACCCACCCCCGATTCAAACGCCTCCCACCAGGTCCCGCCCATGACGTGGGAATTACGGGAGCTACAACGCCAGAATCTTTGTCCTGTGACACCCATGGCACAATTCTGGCCCCAGAACTGTCAGATGATAAATCTGTGTTGTTGAAGCCACGAGTTTTCTGTCAGCAGCCGTGGAAAACGGATACATTCCTGTAGATTAAAAAAATAAGTTCTTTCCACAGAAAGAGATGTGGAATCTACCCTCAGGACACGGCTCTGTTGAGCTTGGGCACGGGGTCTCCTCTGAGGATGGGGGCGCCGGGGTCTCTGTGAGGATGGGAGGCACCGGGTCTCTGAGGAGGGGGCACCGGGGTCTCTCTGAGGATGGGGGCGCCGGGTTCCTCGGAGGATGGGGCACCGGGGTCTGCAGGTCGGTGCGGGTATCTGTGAGGATGGGGGCACCGGGAATCTCTCAGTATGGGGGCACCGGGTTCCTCCTGAGGATGGTGGCGCCGGGCGTCTCTGTGAGATAGGGGTGCCGGGTTCTCTGAGGATGGGGGTGCCGGGGTCTTCGCTGATGATCGCGGGCGCTGGGGTCTCGTGAGGATGGGAGCACCGGGTCTCTGAGGATGGGGGCGTGCCGGGTCTCTGAGGATGGGGTGCTGGGGTCTCTTGGGGATGGGGGTGCGGGGTCCTCTCTGAGGATGGGGCCCGGGGTCCTCTCCGGGATGGGGCGCCCGGGGTCCCCTGGGGATGGGGGGCCCGGGTCTCCTGAACGGATGGGGGCGCCGTGGTCCTCTGAGGATGGGGTGCCGGGGGTCTCCGGGATGGGTGCCGGGTCATTCTGAGGATGGGGGGGCCGGGGTCCTCTGAGTGATGGGAGCGCCCGGGGTCTCTGGGGATGGGGGCGCCCGGGGTCTCTGAGGATGGGGCGCCGGGTCCTGGGGATGGGGGTGCGGGTCTCTGAGATGGGGCGCCGGGGTCTCTGAGATGGGGTCGCCGCGGTCTCTCTGAGATGGGGCGCCAGGGTCTCCTGAGGATCCGGGCGCGCGGGGTCTCTGTGAGGATTCGGGCACCGGGGTCTCTGAGGTTGGGGGTGCCGGGGTCCGGGGATGGGGTGCCGGGTCTCTCTGAGGATGGGGCGCCGTGGTCTCTGAGGATGGGGGCGCCGGTCATCTGAGATGGGGGTGGCCGGGGTCTCTCTGAGGATGGGGCGCCATGGGTCTTCTCTCTGAGGATCGGGCGCTGGGGTCCTCTGTGAGGATCGGGCACCGGGGTCTCTGAGGATGGGGTGCCGGGGTCTCTGGGGAATGGGGTGCCGGGTCCTCCTGAGGAGGGGCGCCGGGGTCTCTGAGGATGGGTGCGGGGCTCTCTGAGGATGGCGCGCCGGGTTCGTCTCTGAGGATCGGCGCTGGGTCTCTGTGAGGAATGGGCCCGGGTCTTCTGAGGTTGGGGTGCCGGGTCTCTGGGGATGGGGGTGCCGGGTCTCTCTGAGGATGGGGCGCCGGGGTCTCGAAGGTGGGGTGCCGGGTCTCTGGGATGGGGGTGTCGGGGTCTCTCTGAGATGGGGGCGCCGGAGTCTCTGAAGGATGGGCGCCGGGTCTCTGAGGATTGGGTGCCCGGGGTCTCCTCTGAGGAAGGGGGCGCCAAGTGTCTCTCTGAGATCGGCGCTGGGTCTCGTGAGGATCGGGGCACCGGTCTCTGAGGATGGGGGGTCGGGTCCTTGGGGGGGATGGGGTCCGGGGTCTCTCGAGGTGGGGCCCCCGGGTCCTGAGATGGGGGCGGGTCGTCTCTGAGGGATGGGGGGCGCCGGGTCTCTCTGAGGATCGCGCGGGCTCTGTGAGGATGGGCCCCGGGTCTCTGAGGATGGGGTGCCGGTCCTCTGGGGATGGGTGCCGGGGTCCTCTCTTGCAGATGGGGCCCGGTCCTGAGGATGGGGGCGCCGGTCCTGGCAGGATGGGGGCGCCGGGCCTCGGATTGGGGCGCCGGCTCTGAGGATGGGGTCCGGGGTCTCTCTGAGGAGTGGGGGCGCCGGGGTCTCTCTGAGGACGGCACCGGGGTCTCTGAGGATGGGTGCCGGGGTCCTCTGGAAGGGGGTGCCGGGTCTCCTCTGAGGATGGGGGGCCCGGGTCCTGAGGATGGGGGTCCGGTGTCTCTGAGGATGGGGTGCCGGGGTCTCTGAGGAGGGGGCGCCGGGTCTCTGAGGATGGGGGGCCCGGGGTCTCCTGAGATGGGGGCGCCGGGTCGTCTCTGAAGATTCGCGGCCGCATGGGGTCTCTGTGAGCGATGGGGCACCGGGTTCTCCTGAGATGGGGTGCCGGTCTCTGAGGATGGGCGTGCCGGTCTCTTGGGACTGGGGGTGCCGGGGTCTCTCCTGAGGATGGGGGGGCCCGGGTCTCTGAGATGGGGGCGCCGGGGGTCTCTGTGAGCGATGGGGCGCCGGTCCTCGGGATGGGGGCGCCGGTCTCGGGATGGGGGGTCCGGGTCTCGTGAGGATGGGCGCCGGGTCCTCTGAGGATCGGCGCTGGTGTCTCTGTGAGGTCGGGGCACCGGGGTCTCTGGAGGATGGGGTGCCGGGTCTCTGGGATGGGGTCCAGGGTCTCTATGAGGATGGGAGCGGCCGGGGTCCTCGGGATGGGGGCGCCGGGTCTCTGAGGATGGGGGCCGCCGGGGTCTCTGATGGGGCCGGGGTCTCCTCTGAGATGGGGCGCCACGGGGTCTCTGAGATGGGGGCGCCGGGGTCGTCTGGGATGGGGCGCCGGGTCTCTGAGGACTGCGGGGCGCCGGGGCTCTCTGGGATGGGGTGCCTGGTCTCTCTGAGGATGGGGCGCCGGGGTCTCTTCTGAGGATGGGCGCTGGGGTCTCTGTGGAGGATCGGGGGCACCGGGTCTCTGAGATGGGGGTGCCGTGGTCTCTGAGGATGGGGGTCCGGGGTCTCCGGGAGGGGGGTGGGGTCTCTCTGAGGATGGGGGCCGGGTCTCTGAGGATGGGGGCCGCGGGGTCTCGGGGATGGGGCGCCGGGGCCCTCCTGAGGAATGGGCGCGCGGGTCTCTGAGGATGGGGGCGCCGGCGCTCTGGGGAGGGGCCGCCGGGTCTCTGAGAGGGGCCAGGGTCACTCTCTGATGGATGGGGCGCGCCAGGGTCTCCTCTGAGATGGGCGCTGGGGTCCTGTGAGGATCGGCACCGGGTCTCTGAGGATGGGCGGTGCCAGGGTCTCTGGGGATGGGGTGCCGGGTCCTCTCTGAGGTATGGGGGCGCCGGGTCTCTGGGACTGGGGGGGCCGGGTCTCTGAGATGGGGGTGCCGGGTCTCCTGAGATGGGGGCGCCAGGGTCTCTCTGAGGATCGGGCGCATGGGGTCCCTCGTGTGAGATCGGGCACCGGGGTCCTCCTGAGGATGGGGGGTGCCCGGGGTCTCTGGTGGATGGGGCCGGGGATCTCATGAGGATGGGGTGCCGGGGTCTCTGGGGGGGGGGCGCCGGGCTTTGAGCGATTGGGGGCGCCCGGGGTCTCTGTGGATGGGGCGCGCCGGGGTCTCGGGAATGGTGGCGCCGGGCTCCTGACGGATGGGGGGTGGCCGGGTCTCACTGAGGGATGGGCCCGGGGGCCTCTCTGGAGGACTCGGGCCCGCTGGTATGTGAAGGATGGGGGCACGGCTCTGGAGGAGGGGGTGCCGGGGTTCTGGGGATGGGGTGGCCGGGGTCTCATTTGGGGATGGGGGCCCGGGGTCTCTGGGATGGGGGCGCCGGGCTTCTGAAAAGCCGATGGGGGCGCCGGGCCTCTCTGAGGATGGGGGCGCCGGGCTCCCTCTGGAGTGGGCGCCTGGGGTCTCTGTGATGATCGGGCGCCGGTCCTCTTGAGGATGGGGCGCCGGGTCCTCTGTGAGGATGGGGGCGCCGCGGGTCCCGGTGAATGGGGGCGCTGGGGTCTCTGAGGATAGGGGTGTCCGGGGTCTTCCCCGAGGATGGGGCCCGGGTCTCTCTGAGGGATCGGCCGCTGGGCCTCCTGTGAGATCGGGGCACCGGGGGTCTCTGAAGGATGGGTGCCCGGTCTCTGGGGGAGGGGGTGCCGGGGTCTCTCTGAGATGGGGCGCCGGGGTCTTCGAAGGATGGGGGTGCCGGGGTACTCTCTGATGCGGGGGTGCCGGGGGTCTCCTGGGGATGGGCGCCGGGGTCTTTTCTGTGAGGATGGGCCAACCTCGGGTCCCTCCTGGAGTGGGCCGCCGGGTCTCACCGCCGGGAATGGGGCGCCGGGGTCTCTCTGGGATGGGGGCGCCGGGGTCTCTCTGGGATGGGCGCCGGGGTTGTCGGGATCCGGAGCGGGTCGGCTCCTCTGGGCCAGACAGAGCCGCCCGCCTGCCGCTGCTCACCGCCCTCAGCACGGCTTCGGTTCGAGTTACGGGAAAGCCGTCCAGTCCCAGGCGCCCCCCACACTGCCCGCCCCGCTTCCGGTGTGTGGTTCCCCGCGGCCCAGAGGCCCGTTCCTGCCTCAGCTCCCTCTGGCGGGCCCCGGGGCGGGAGGCGACTTCTCTGGAGACTCTGGGGTGTTAGAATTTGGGCGCAGGAGTTCTGGTCGCAGCAGGGTCCTGCCGGAAGGTGCAGAGGCCAAGGCGGCTTGAGGACTGCAGGTCCTTTCCAGCCAAGAACCCGCCGAAGCTGGGCTGCCCAGAAAGAGGGTGAAGCCTTCTGAGGAAACGCCCAGGGCAGGAAGGTCCTGCCGACCCCCCTCTGACCCGGTCTCCTCCGAGTCCTCCCCTCTGAGGCTCCCGGCGCTCCCTGCAGGCTCCCGCCTGGGATACCAGGAACGGGGACTCTCAGGATGGTGTCGGGGCTTCAGGGCTGCAGGGGCCATGGAGCCAGGTGGAGCTGGGAGAGGCTCTGCGGTCAGCCCCACCCTCCTCCCTTCCCAGCCTCCTGCTGCAGAACAGACACCCTTGGAGCCGGGGGAGGGGCGGCCGGGGAGGGAGGACGGGGCTGGCCACTCCCTGGGACCCAGCCCCAGGCAGCTGCGCAGGCGGCTGACCCACCTCCCAGGACGCCCACGCGGAAGCTCTGCAGCTAGTCACTGTCCCGCACCCTCCTAAGTCCACAACCCCGCGCATCCCCACATCCCGAAAGGCCTGGGTGTTAAACAGAGAGGCCATCCGAGTTTGACCGTTAGTGTGTTTTAAAGTGACTTCCTGGCACCCTGCAAACCTTAGCATTTTAATCCCACACAGCAGCAGGAAGGAGAGATTCGTCAGCCTGGTCAGAAGACATCGAGGTCTCTTTGGCTGAGCGGTTAGATGTCCTCTTATACTGATGGAGATAGTTTAGAGCCATTTTCAAACATTTATACCCCAAAACTACTTTTTCCCAAGCGTATTGCCTAAGTCGGCTGGAAGACTTTGTTTGGAAAAACCGAGTCTAGGGACCACTCCAGCTGCGCCCACCTGGCATGGTGAAGCCTTTGCCAGGGCACAGATGGGCATTTCTCCGGGACCAACCAGCCAATTGCTCAGTCATCACCCAGTGACCCTCAGCTATGCGGCTCACAGCGTGGCTATTGTGGGCCATGAACCCTCCAGGAAGGACCAACATCGCCACCAGTGCTACAACTGAAAGCAGTGTTTAGAAAGTTGTGTACCAGTTTGACAGCGTGATTTTACGCCTGTTTAACCTAACACTAAGGTAATGGTTTTGTATTCTGTATGTCTTTTAAAATTTTATTTGTATTGTAAATTGAAATGTTGTCTGTCTATTACCGGATTGAAAACTTTAAATCATAAACTGACAATTACTCCCAATAGCGTGGAAAATCCTGCCTGTATGGAGGAGACACAAAACCTGGGATGAGTATTAATATATATTATAATATATATAAAATATAAAACTTATATATATAGTATAATAATATAATTGTTAATATCATAAATAAATTATAATATTATAAATTAATGTATATATATATATATAAAAATATAAAGAATATAAAATATAAATTTTATATTTAAAATAAATAAATGTATAATATATATTTGAGACAGGGTCTCACTGTGTTGGCTCAGGGCTGGGAGTGCCAGTGTGTGCAAATCATGGTGCTTATGGCAGCTTGACCTCCCAGGCTCAAGCAATCCTCTCACTTCGGCCTCCTGAGTAGCTGGGACTACAGGTGCACGCCAGCACGCCGAGTTAATTTTTTGTATTTTTGTGGAGACAGGGTTTCGCCATGTTGCCCAGGCTAGTCTCCAACTCCTAGGCTTAAGCGATCTGCCTGCCTCAGTCTCCCAAAGTGCTGGGACCACAGGTGTGAGTCACTGTCCCCAACCCTGAAAATATTTTAAATTGCAGCTAACTTGCTCTAACATTATTAATAGATACTTGAAACTATTTTAAAGTAATGGTTGCCATCTTATTTCCTTTATTTTTCTGAAAAATGGTTACTAGGGTTCCCACTAATAAACGTAATGGCCATTTGGGGACAGCAGCATTAATTCACTGCGGGTAACCTGCAGTCTGCTTGAGGGAACCGCATGCCCAGCCCCCGCAGCCCCTGGGAGAGCCTGTCAGGGATGATGAGCGATGGGCATTTGGGCTCAACAGGCCTCATTCCTTCATTTACTCAACAGTTACCGAACTTGGCTTCATTTCCTCACACTGCTGGGCCCGCATGGCCTCTGTTTCCCTATTCAAATCAGCACAATTAGGGTATCATCTTAAACCTGGGACTGTCTGTAAATTAAAATCTGGGGGCCAGGCGCAGTGGTTCACGCCTATAATCCCAGCACTTTGGGAGCCTGAGGAGGGCGGATCACCTGAGGTCAGGAGTTTGAGACCAGACTGACCAATGTGGTGAAACCCCGTCTCTATTAAAAATAAAAAAAATTAGCCGGGCATGGTGGCGCACACCTGCAATCCCAGCTACTCGGGAGTCTGAGGCAGAAGAATCACTTGAACCTGGGAGGTGGAGGTTGTAGTGAGCTGAGATCGTGCCATTCCACTCCACCCTGGGCAACGAGAGCGAAACTCTGTCTCAAAAAAATAAAATTCGGGGAATGACATGCTTAGCACATGGCCAATACATGTGTGCTATTGATGGTCAATAGTGGACAATATTTTGGAGGAGTTAGGAGCACAGTTTCCTGAATATGAGGGTCTCAGGCGCTGGCTGGTGACATAGGTGGAGAGACTGACGTAAGGAAAGAGCTTCACAGTATTTACGAAGCAGCTTGCGAGAAAAACGCAATTGCACACAGTTCATCAGAGCTGAGGGAGCACCGAGGTGGGTAAGGTTCACCTAAGGAAGTACCAGGGCTGGGTAAGGTTCATCTGAGGGAGTGCCAGGGCCAGGTAAGGTTCACCTAAGGGAGTGCCAGGGCCAGGTAAGGTTCACCTAAGGGAGTGCCAGGGCCGGGTAAGGTTCACCTAAGGGAGTGCCAGGGCCGGGTAAGG